ATATTATACTTAGTATTATAAATTATTATATAATTTATATAATATTGTATAATATATTTACATCTTTTTAAATTACTTTTTTACTCTTTAATGAAAATATTTTCTTTTAGAGGTAGGGTTTATCATTATATAAAAACAAGTGTCTTGTGTGTGTGTGCGTGCATGTGTGTGTGTGTGTGTGTGTGTGTGTGTGTGTGTGTGTGTTGTTTAGGCACAAGGACACACACAGTATATTTTCAAACTAATTAACATTATTGAATGATTTTGATTACTAATGTACTTCTGCTTGCTTGGATCCATTAGTCAAATAATCAGGAAGATCCTTCTTCCAAATGATTCTAATCAAAACCATTAAATTAAACAGAAATATTGTGACTTTGGGCCACAGTGAGCAAATTACATGATCTAGTCTTTTGTGAGAAAGCATTCTAATAAATGTTATGGATCGCAGGTGGCCTGAAACACAGTAATGACGATAATCCAATTTCATGCTTTTCTGTGGGCTGTAAAAGTAATTTGTAAGCATTTAAACTATCATTTAATACAGCGATTCATAACTTACGTAGCAACATTCTTATGCTGTTCTGCATATGCTGCCAGTCTGTCCTTTATTTCATTTCTGGAAATGTGACTAGAAAGGGAGAAAGCCCTGGGCTTTGTGCCCACTGTCCAAGTGCAAGTGCAAGCAAGAGACAGATGTTAAATCCATCGACCTAGACAGGAGACGGATATTTAAATAGAAGTAGTCACTTCACTGGGTGCTTTGGAGGCATTTATAAAAGCGAATGAATTTAGGTTTTAAAGAATACTAACAGAAGACCCTCTTTAATGCAATTAGAGGTTTACTGAGAAGCGGAACACATATAAATTCAGATTAAATCCAACATTTGTGTAGGCAAGTAACAACAGTTTTTCCACCACAAATAAATGTTAGAAATCTTACTCAATGCTCCTGAGAATTTATGGGTCTGCTATCGGATAGTGTTGTGCAGGATCAAACAGAGGCCAACGTGCCCTAGTCTCTCTTTAGAAGCAGGTGCTAAACCCTCAGGGAGAAAGAGTTGAGACCATCTCATACCCTGAGCATTATGGGCCAAAATTCTTGCAGAGGTAACGCCAGAAAAGTATTTACACCTGCATGCGTATACGAATCTACACCCAGCGGACACGTAGCCTAACCGTGTCTTTGCATGTGTAGATTGCTTTAGCATAGACTTATTGAGCTGAGATGAGTGCTGATGTTCAATATAAGCATATTAGAGCTGGAGCATCACTGAAACTCTATTACACTCTCCTCTTCTGTCTACATTATTCCAAATATAACTGTAAACAATGTACTGAAAAAGACCTGACACAGTATCATTCCCCATCTTATTAAAAAGCATGTTTATCATCAGAGAACAGTATTGGATTTCCAATGTGAGCCATTTTTAAACCTCCATCCGTTATGATTTTTTTTTAATTTAAATCAGGCAGATGGAGCAGAAGACGATGCCATGGGTATCTAACAATCTATCAAACCAAAAACCTGTTCAAAGCTGAATAATTATGGATAATGATTATCATAATGTAATATAATATATAATAAATGTTCCTATTATTAAATTATTAATGTTTTCAAAGATTAAGTGAGTGTTAAATGACAGCAAAGGTTATTTAAATGAAAAAAAATAAAATAAAATGAGAGAAACTTATATAATATATGTTCCTATTATTAAATTATTAATGTTTTCAAAGATTAAGTGAGTGTTAAATGACAGCAAACAGCAAATAAATGAAAAAAAAAAAAATAAAATGAGAGAAACTAAATAAAAGCAAATAAATAAAAACTAAACAAAATCAGGCAATAACTGGTATACCATTGTTA